TGCTGAAAAACCATTAAAAATGATCAGACGAAAACTTATACTAACATGGAAACGAAAATAATTTATTAATGTTCGGTGTAAAATTAATCTCAAGAAATGTACAAAATGCTAGAGACTGATATTATCCAATGTCAAAGGAAGAAGTTCATATGGTTTTGAGATCAATGTGTATAAACACTAAAATATATAAGAATTTTAGTATTTAAAATGGTTATTTAAATGAGATTATTATATTTTTATGTAATTCTAATGGAGAGTTTTTAAAACAATTGGAAATAGTATATATGGATGGAACTTTTAATAATTACGATAAACAATTTTCACAACTCTATGTATACAATTCATGATTGAAAAATAATATTTATATTTCATAAATATTTTGCTTTCCATCGGATAGAACGTTAAAAATATATATTGAGCTATTAATAAAAAAATAAAATAAATATTGAAGTTGGAATAAAGCCGAAAAAATTTGGAGAGATGAAGTACAGAAAAATTGTGAGAGATTCCTTTAGATTCGGGTGCTGGAAAAAATGAAATATACAAACTCATTTAAAACATATTTTAACGGAGCCTATTGACCAATATGAAGCCGAGAATATATTGAGTGTGGATATGTTGTTTGTTATCGCTAAAAGTCTAGAGGAGCTATAATACGTACGAAAAACAACCGCAATACGTGAGAAATCATTGTTCGTGACATAAATTTAATACGTAGTTGAAAAAAATGAATTCGTTCATCGCATGCGTTCTTGAAGTGCACTCATACCCACGATTGATAGATGGACTATATACGATCGGCAAGTGGTGAATAGGGTAAAAATATTTTCGATTTCGTGATCAGTCGATAACGCGATTTATCATATTAACAGTAATTTTGTGTGGACCTGTACGGACCATATGTAACGTACTTCGATATAACTGTGGTACACACATTTATGAAGTATTATATTCTGTGGTATTACGTCCTCGTGCAGTGATAATTATAATCAATGATTGTAATCATTAGGCATTATTTGCGCACATTAACGTACCTACTACTTTTATCGGAATCCCGAAAACTCGTTATTATAACTCGCAACCACTTTATGAACGTTGGCGTACTTGGTTTTTGATTTTATAGAATTTTGTACCTATCAATAGTAGAGTATCGTCTGTAACAAGTTGACCATATAAGTCGTTCCGTCATTCTAATTTAAATCATCTTATTTTCAAATTAAAATATTGTCTATTACGAAAAAAAAATCGTGCACAGTCCAAAAGTTAAGTGGAAGTAATAGGATCAAGAAATATTTTTCTATACAGCCCTACATCGCGAGTATGTAGTATATCCTATGTACCGGTGGTTCGGCAATTTTTTATCTTTTCAAACTGAGCTCATCCGTACACCATGCATCTGTCCCTAACTGTCCCTAACTGCTACTCAGAACCGGCGTGAGGGTAAGGCAACTCAGTTGGTTGTCTAGGGTGCCGAAATTGATTTTCACAATTTTGCACATGTGTCAGTATTATTATTATTATTATTTTTTTTTTTTTTTAATATAAAATACCTAAAACTTTGTATTAAAATATTGATAATTATAATGATCATTTCGTTTAGCCATGTATTAATAAAATATAAGTATATTTTAAGTATATTTACTATGGTTTAGCATAGAATGTTTTATCATATAAGTTACTCTATAAATATAAAAATTCCCGAATATTTGTTATCGTTTAATCGGGATCGCGTCAAGCCATTATGACTCATGATAAAAAATTAGAGGATAACAAAATATGTACAAGTTGAGCATATTATATAATTTTTCCGTATTTTTGTCCACGAACAACATTTTTTTTCGAAGTATAATGTTATTACGAGTTGTTATATGAAAAAAGGTCAGTTGGCATTTTGGCCCGGGGCGTCATTTAGCCTTACGCCGGCCCTGCTATTACTACAACTTTTCTTTTTTTCTTTTTTCTTACCGTCTTACGAGAACCTTTGCTCCGTCTTCCCGCCGGGTCGCCTTATTTATTTAACTTAACAACTTTACAAATTATTTACATATTATAACATAACGTCAAACATTACGATACAGTACGAAGAGTACTGCTACAACTACTACATCTCGACATCCCCAATAAAAAGTGTCGTAACTCTTTTTTTTTCTGTTGAGTTAGCTACGCCATCTGTTAGCGCAATTTTTTCTCCCTAAGCCACAAAAACAACGGTATTTCAACTATAGCCGAAGATATTATAAAATATAATTATGTATAAATATTAAAATGTTGATTTCCCGGGAAAAAAGTCTTATCATGAGTTACCATTAAATTTAAACAAGATTATCAACGAAAACTTTGGTAACTTGAATATTCTATTTTTGGATTGCTGCTTGCTTACCTTTGTGGATTTTAGCTTTTAGAATAATAAATCACAATAATTATTGATAACAAGTAATGAATGTTTCATAATTTAACATTATTAAATTCAATATTGAGATATTATGTTATTAATTGTTAGAATATTAACAATATTTTGTTTATTTTACTTTTGAGATGGAATACACAATGAATAATATTATAATTAATGAATGCGAACAAAGCGTAAGTATTATTAAAATTTCTCAGATAGTTAAAACTATAATAAATTAGGTAATGCATCATTATATGCCATATTCCAAACCTGCCTACTTTCTTTATTTTAAATTATATACAATATATGGTGTTATGACTTATGAATATTATAAAATATTATACATATTATAATTATACTGAGTTTTCATAATAAAAAATTTGATTAACAAGACATTTCAATGGTTATTACGTCTTGACTTATTTTTTTAATTTATTTTTCAACGAAAATAGTCGTATCTCATAACTTTTTTTTAACCTATTTTTTATTGTCAACAAATAGTGTTATCTGAAAATAGAATAAGTGGATTTTAAGAAAGAACCTGAAAGATTACAAAAATAATTTTTAGATTTACAATTTTTGAAAATCAGAATATAATTTTATTTTTGAATGTTTATATTGTATTTCCTGAACATTTTGTAAAAATGAGTTACGACACTCTTCGTTGGGGACGTCGATCTACTACTACTAATATTACAACTACTATTACTACTACAACTACTACTGATATTGCTACTATTACTGCTATCAACTACTTTACTTAGTTACCGCTGCTGATGGTGACGCCATAGGCGCAACTGGGGGGAAGGGGACAATGTGGTTTTTAGTACCCCTGAGTTCAAATGTAGCACTCCTGTTTTTTTTTTCAGATCTATAAAGTCTATAGTAATTACAGTTGAATACAATTTTATTTTATTTTCAGCATTTCCAGTACCCCCAATGTTTGTGCTCTAATTGCCGTCTATATGGGTGTCGCTACTCGTAATCAACACTACGTCCGGGTGCGAACACGCGCTTGTGGGCCGAGAGTATCGCATGAAGAGAATATAATAAATCGGGATGATAAATCCGGAATGGAGAGATAACCCGATACCGCTGGTCGGTAACCGGAAGCGAAATCGAGGCGCGCGAGCATGTACTATTTTATAATTATACGCGTGTTGCTGCCGGGGCGCCGTGTAATTCACGTCGGCCAAACAAACAACCCAAATACAAATATTTTCATCGTATTGCACCCGCGTCACCCTGGTAAGCAGCTCCTGTTGTGTACGTGTTTCAACGTGTATACGGCGTTATGCGCGTGCATGCAGGTAACGACGGTCCGACGTGTTATAACATTTTAGGTCAGGTGTATTGCGGTACGAACACGGTAGTGGTTATCCGCATTCGCAGTGTGCGTACGTTCGGATTATTTTAGCGGACATGCAAATCATGCGGTTAGCTGTATAACAATAATAATAATATATTATACGTATTGTTTGGATGATATTATGTACAGAATGTTCCGTGAGTGTTTGCAGCATGAAAATCTCCCGCTTCGACGTGAGAAACGTTTGTCGGATAGAGTTTAGGATTTTTTTTTTTTTTGTATTTGTATTCTGCTCCGTTCTCCGCCGTTACGGAACAAAATGTGAAAACGCTATTCGATACGATGTTGTGAAAATATCGTGAGCTGCAAGCGTCCTTGCGTCACACCCCGTACATAAATTCGTCCGAACCATGATGCACCACGATATTGTATTTCAATATCGATATCGGATCAATTTTACCGATATAGATGTTACTATCGAATGTATTTCGAAATCGATATCGAGTTGTTGCAGTTTCTATTTTTTATAATGTGAACATTTTGTTTTTAAATCTTACAATTCCAAAAAAACGAATTCTGTCGATAAAACAAATATTGTTTTATTTTGTATTTTCATAAATTATATGCAAAGGTGGATTTAACTGTTATATGTAATAAAATTTTACTCCCTTAATTATTAAATATAATTGTACCTTATTTTATTTGAATTTTAAAACAATTTTTTGTCGATTTTAATTATTTAGTTTGCTTGGGAAAAATGTAATTATATGTCTACCAAATTTTAATGAAAACTTACATATGATCATTTTTATGAGACACCATTATTAAAACTATTGTTTGGACGATTAAGTGATTAAGTATACATTATATCATTATTTGTTTTTATATGGAATTTTCTTTTTTTCTTTTTTTTTTTATACGAATGATGTAATCCTAAATTGTATCATTTTAGACAGCTGCCTACTTTGCCTATGTGGAAATTTTAAAAATCCGCCTCTGATTATATCGATATTTCGTTCTTCAGTATCAATATCGTTTGTTTTTCGATATCATAATACGATATCAATATAAATGAAACGATATCGATAATTGAAAATATATCGTTGTGCAATACTAATACGTAATACGCGTGTAAAATGGTTAGATTAAAACTGTTTTATGTACACGTATTTATTTCACGTCTTGAACATGCACGTTCATGCACGTCCTTTCAGAAACTTATCGCGACGTAACGAGAAATGTAAGTACGATATGTACAATATTACACATGGTATCGGCTCCGGCACGACAGACACTTACCGATGAAGCGTTCCAAATCCCTCGAAGGAGAGTTCCGGAAGGCCAGGTAATTGTTTTCACCGGACACGCGTTCCATCTGATGGCAAAAAAAAATCATATTATTAATTTTTATTATTATAAGGCATTTTATACAAATGGATGACTGTGGACATAATCGTCCGTTACAAGTCGCGTGATTAAATTGTGTCTCAACGAAGTCGCGATTTTGTTAACTTTGTACATTTTTAATACAATTTTTAATTCGAAACCGTTCGTATTTTACAAATATAATAACACTCATTTATTTATTTATACACTATAATTTATATTATTATATGCTGAAGAAAATAATATATATTTATAAAGATATTGCTTATATTGTTGTAAACATAAATACACACACACACACACGCAGGCACGCAGTTTTTGTTCATCAGTTCATCGAACGGTCAAAAATATTTATGTGATTATATAATTTTTCGTTTTTATTTCGGTGTCCGTAAAAAAATTTATTACATTTCCATCGTGAATTTTTATAACTGACTGTAGTTATATAATATATCAACATTTATACCTGCATTTTTCGATTTTATAAAAAAAAAAATTATTCCTCTGAGTTATATATTCTGAGCCGACTCTACTACACTGTTTTATTGACACTAAATGTATAACATGCCCGACTACTTTTCTCGTACGTTTATTATAGCAGTTAGTCTTATGTATCACGTATTGTTTGAACGTGTTTACCCTACATATATTAATATCAAATGCAAACGTATTAAGTTTGATCACCGATGTCTGTTGATCATCAACAGCCAAGAGCCGAAATAAATGTGAAAGGTCAGCGTTCCCGTACATATAAGTACTAATATACTGTTTTTTTTTGAGTTTCTGAGTAAAACGTAGGTTGTATTATATTATTTATTTTGTATCATCGTGTCTGTGTCGAGTAAAGTAACTGTATGAAAATCTAACGATGTACGATCAACTTAACCATACTGCATTTTTAGTACCCGCAATGCCGATCTAATAACTCGCTGTATTCAAAAAGTCCATGTACTGTAAATAATACCATTATCATCGGAATAAATATTTGATCATTACATTTTACCGACCCTTGATATATATTGAATTAAATCAGACAAATCTTGAGAATTTTTATTATTTGGGCTTAAAAATAGTGTCTAGTCCATTCCTTTATTTTCTCCATACCCTTTTAATCTACATTTCTTAATCTAAATGGTTCACTCAATCATCTTCAAATGTCATGATGATGTAATCACAATTTTACTTTCACCGTTCTTAAACGTAGAGTCTAGTGGTATTTTCATCGAAAACACTATATGCTCATGAGAACTAGCCTTAACCTGATTTAATCGACTTATGGTTTTTTTTAAACCTAAACAGTGAAATATAAATATGAGGCTATGAGTGATCTTTTTTATTAGATTAAAAGAAAAACGATGATACTATCAAAAACATTTTTCGAGTAACAAGACTAGTATGATTAGCATTTATTTAGTATGCATATTTATTGGAAATGCAGTCTTACAGTATTTATAATTTTAATTTTCTTTAAACACGATTATTTAATACTACAAACTATTTCAGAAAATATGAATATAAATACTTCAATAATACAACAAACAATTTATAGAAATACATATATATATATAAACAAACACGCGTCAACTTATTAAACTCGATGTTTAAAATTAAAATTCCTCTTCCTTTTACCAAAAAAACGCGCCTCTTTATTTAAAAGAGAAAAAATAAAAATATAATTTTCCAATGAATATTTTAATAACTATTCGTTGAAATTGAAATATGAACAGAAATTAATATTTATACTTTTACAAAAGAAATAGTTCATACATGCATACGTTAATCTATTCATTCATACGAGCAAAATTGTAATGCATTATACTTATATATTTTTAATTATTGTTCAGTTTATAAAATTGAAAGAAGTTTAAATTATTTTTTAATATACTTTACATTGAAAGTATTGTAATTAATTTTTTTATTTGAATTGAGTTGTATATTAAGACAAAAATAAATAAGTCTATAAATAATAATGTATGTTATTTCTAGTACGACCAAAAAAAAAAATTTTAAATTTAAATTTAATTTAATTATACATTCACACAACTCAAATTAAATATACCTGTACATGTATATTCATTTTCTTTATTATTCTTTCATTATTCTTTATAATTACAACGAATCTGTGTTTTTCAAAAAACAAATATATTGTCATAGTAACATTTTTATAATGGAAAATTATGGAGTACAGATTGATAAAATAATTTTAATTTATGCAAACATTGAAAATAAGACGTATAAGAGACATTTAGAGACCACAGATTAAAATACTTCAATGCGACGCAATATCATCGTGTTACAGTACAGATGAATTATTTTTTAATATTCAAATTCGAATTCAGTTTTGCGTTTATAACATTTTTTGTTTGGTTAGTAACACATATTTATAAAATAAACATCATTATACTTTTAGGCCCTGTTAGAACAGCGAAAAAGTCTATTTTTTATGTAGAAATATTTAAGTATGTTATAGAAAATTTAAATACATTATACGGTATGTACGCATACATGTTATTACCGCTGAATATATTTGGTATCAGTTTATTTTTAATATGCCTGCATATAGGTACTTAATAACATTATTAATATTCGTTAGTCTTATAACACATAATGTGATGCGATTTTTTCATAGTACGAACTGAATGGAAACTATAACATTTTTAGACGTTTATAGTTTTGATATTTCAAAACACAATTATATTTTTATTAGTACACGATTTTTAATATTAAAAAATGAGCCGGACATAAATTTCATGGGTTCTTGTAAAATTATAGTTTGAGTTTTAATATTTTTTTATTTTTTAGTACCACACTTTTTTATCATTTGAAGTATATAGTTTTATTATACAATAGTAGCTATATAAATTCCTCTTCAATTTCAACTAAGTACCTACACACTCCAGTACGCGAGATAGATTGTGTTTATTCATATAGGCAGTTCTTCAAATTATTTTTTTTCCTTTATTCTTTTTCTGTATTGAAAAATGACAACTTGAAAAATGAATACCCGAACAATTGGACTAAAAATGTAACTGTATTACCTTATTATTTTAGCACAACAATATTTGCGATAAATAGTAAATATTATACTCATATAAATTCACATAAATATCATCACCAACATAAAACTGAGTATTAGTATATATTATATATTAGTCTAATATTAATTAGCACATTTTTTCAACTACCTTTACACTATACAGTATAAAGTTATTGAAACAATATCCTTAAAGTATAAATGTATTACTAACGAAATATTAGCCTTCGGCTATAAACATATTAAATAATACATTCGTTTATAAAAAAAAAAATTTTTTGTTTTCAAGATTCTGATTTATTCACTGTAATATAATAATAAAATATTTTATTTTGATTGTGTGATGAAGTATTTTGAATACCGTAAAGAAAATAATAAGAACTATAACAAAGAAAATAAATAAACACTGCAATATAAAATGATTTAAATTCAACGATGACTTTTGTACTTAGAAATTTAAAAATTACTCTATAACGTCTATAATTTTACTAAAATCGAAAAAATAACCATACGTTGATGGCTAAACATTAATTTTACATTAACTTGTTTAAGTGTTGGCGGTAGTTTTTGTTGGTTTTAAACCTTTACTTCAACACATGACGATTAATACAACGTCTAAACTAATTTATAACTGTTTGTTCACATAATATATGTAATAGTATATGTAATACATAATAGTATGTAAAACGTTGACTAAAAGGAAAAATATTCATTTTTAAATCACACAGTAAATTTATTAAATCAATTATTACTGTCAAGAGTTATTCACGATGTTACGAAGAGTGTTTATTTTATAAATATTTACCCGCATTCTATGAACTATGAAAAACAAATAAATATATAGGTATACTCAATGGTGTATTTTCACATTTTTTGTGGAGAGCGGGGTTTTAATTTTTCTTGAAAAATAAATGATTTTACAATATTATAGAAAATTCTTATAATGTATGAATTAATAATTATATTATTCTATTATTATTATAAATACAAAATAAGAGTTATTTAAAACCACTAATTAATTTTCTCTTTAACTGTACTTTCGTAGAAATTAATGACTTTTGTGTCTATTTTTTCTTCTAGGGAGATCTTTGAAGCTGAGGAACATTTTTTTGAAATCCACTATTAAGGGATCGTACGATTTATTTTACCTTGATGAGAAACTGAAAAATACAAATAAATATCTAACCCAATGGAACAGTCTATAAATAGAATAAAATTTATTTTTGTACTAATAGAATTTTAGTTTCATTTATTATCTAAAAACATTAAATAACAATGTACACTAGTTTTTTTATATTTAATTTATACAACAGTTTTCCACTACCCAGTATTAAAACATAGATTAATATTGGTGATAGGACGGCCTCTTAAAAATAACATATTACAATGTGAGAATACCAAAAGATTTAATAAAACTCTAGATCAATATATCTTTTAATTTTTGGACTGAATATTTATAAAACAATAAAAGTTATATTTTAAATTAAATCTTTTTATTTTCACGCGATGCCTACGTACTTAAAAATGTTAATATTAATTTAATGAAGTATCAAAACCCAAACAAATAAATACTAACTATATTTTTATACATTCCCATGTACATGATCATATAGTAAAATAAACAAATAACTATTAAGCTTTTTGTGCAATAATGTAATGTATAATAATATGTGTCATTTTAATAAAATCATAAATGATGGCAATTGAAAAATATTCAAAATATTTTGTCATGTCACCGAATAAAATGATAATTTATTTTATACCCATTTTATATCTGTAGTGTCAACTAAAATAATAATAATAATAATATTTGATCAACTGCGACGGGTATTCAAACATTTTGATAAATATCTTTATCTGATTAAATGATAAATAATGTGATATGACGTGTTAAAGCTATTACAGATTTACAAGCTTTAAAATTTTAAACAGACATACATTATTTTAAAATAGTT